ACTCAGACTCAGTGCTTGCGAGTGGGGAAGCATTGCCTCTCAGAGGTGCCCAGGGCTCGTGAATTTCCTAGATTACTGGGTGGGGGCTTGAGCCGGTTCTACGTGAGATGGACCCCAAGATATTGAACCCAGCCCTGGTTACTGCCAGGCCTAGCCAGCAGAAGGGTTACAGGAGCATAAACTTTCATGGGCAAAGACCCACTTCATCAGATGCATGTAATATTTTGAAAGCACTTGGGGTTTTAGGCTAAAGCTTTATTCTATACGTAAACTTTTTCTACTGTATCTGACACATAGCCCAGCCCATGCCACTTTCCACAGCTCCCGTTGACTGAGAATAGTGAATGCCTATGGATGATCATCTGGATGATGACTACAAACCATCTGATGGCCCAGCAGTGGCTATCTCTGATGAACCACATGTGGATGACACGGAATTTCCTCACCCCACAATTTCTCACTAAAAAGGTTTTAGCTATTGCTTTTGAAAAATCAAAGCTATAAATCTATGTAATTTCATTGTAAGAAGTGTGACAATATGCCTTTTCACCTTCTTTCCCCATCATATATTATCCTCTTGGTCACAGATTGGAAAACAGAGTGTAATCTGTTTAGGGAAAGGGAATCTTTTTATATCTTATTGTAAAGTGTCTAATCCAGTGTACTTCTGGGTTCTATAAATAAATAATGGAGATCTAATAGTTCAGTTCCCTGCTTCTATTATCGTCCTTCTTTTGTGAACTTCATTCACTTTATTTCCTCTTCAGGGTATTTTCTTTGGTTATGTTTTTCCTAACATAGGCAAGTGTTGAATTGGGGTCAGGAGGGAAAACATTATACACAACCTCCATTCAGAATTATCAGTAGGCCTTCCCAAGCCAGTGGAACCTCAGGGTATGTCTAGACTACAAGCCTCTTTTGAAAGAGGCTTTTTCAAAAGAATCTTTCGAAAAAGCCTCTTTTGAAAGAAAACTAGATTACAAGCAGATTTTTCAAAAAAGTGAGCTGCTTTTTCGAAAGACAGTCTAGATGCTCTCTTTTGAAAAAGCACAGTTTGCATTCAATAGCGTCTTTTTTTGAAAGAGTACTTTCGAAAAAAGGCGTTATTCCTCGTAAAATGAGGTTTACCGCGATCGAAAAAAAAAAGCCGCATTCTTTTGATTTACTTTTGAAAGAATGCGGCTGCAGTCTAGATGCAGGTGAAGTTTCTTAGAAAAAACGCTACTGTTTTTGAAAAAACCCTGTAGTCTAGACACACCCTGTCAGAGAGCCAAACAAGTTGTGTACTTTTTAACCAGATCTTTGTTCCCTTCTGAGCTCTTGGAGTTGTTCTGCCAGGGACTCACTAATTAAAGCAGTTATTAGTGTCAGGCATGTGTCAGGATAAGATAAATGTTGTTAATGTTTCTCATTTGAATTCTAAATTGGGTCTTAATCTTGTGTGTTGCTTTGAAGGTATCCAACACCTAGCACAGGAGAAATTCTGCTTTCAGTCATGTAGCCCCCTAATGATATGCCCCTTATCTCTATTGTGGAAGAGCCCCCTAATCCTCCCTTCTCAAGTAGAGTCAATAAGCACCTGACACCAATGGGCCCTGGGTTCTTTGTGGTTTATGCCTCTCCCCAGTGGCCAGATTAATAAAGTAACCAATGGTATCAGTGTTCCTTCTTAAAAAGCAGATAGCTCTCCCTTTTGGGTGAAATAGGTCTCTGATGGCTACAAACTCTGGCCACCCCCTGATGTCTAATGTGGTGACCTACCAAGCACAACTGACAGTCAGCCCTCCCAAACAAAGTGGAATGGTGGAGGCTCAATCTCTCTTTGGTAGAACTGGGGTCCATAGATAAACGCCAATCCATCTGGCAGAGACACAAAATGGGAGCAACTCTGGAGCTGCTTTTTCTCCAGTTCTTCTAACCCAGATACTTTCAGCCAGTTCTCTGTTGACCAAGAGGCTCAATGCACATGATGGAATAGTACTGTCACATGCAGACTCTCTGGGGTTGCAGGTGATCACCTGCATAGGTCAAACATGCTCTTGCCCTATAATTCTTCCTTATCTTCCTCCGGCTCCCAGTTATGGGGTCTGACTATCATCCAAGGTCAGCTCACATGTCGGAATAGCTGAAAATTATATGAAACCTCTCTGGAAAAAGCAATCGGTTGCTCTGCTTATCAGTTTGGCTCCTGATCTTTTCTTCACAGGCAGTTTGTTTTTCTGAAACACAGAAGAAGCAGGCAGTCTCTGCATTCAAAGATCTCCCAAACTACATACGCATTTTTTTTAAACTTTTGCTCTCTTAGGTCCCCCTAAAAATGCTATAACTCAGCTGGGGAAGAGAGGGAGGGGCACTCAGGGCTCCAGGATGGCAGTAGGCCTTTGGGCATAGGCATAGATTGACTTCTATTTTGGGATTGTGCCTGGCAGGTCTTGGGCCATCTCCCCATGGCAGATTCTAAGGAGGCAGTGCCATCCCCACCCTCAACTCTCCTCAGCCTGCCTGGTTTATGTGTGATGGGGGTTAGACTAAAAAAGTCCAAACACCTCTCAGAATACAAAGGGAGATATCTAGGTGTTTTTGTGGGCTGGGGCTTGTGTGTGGGCAGGAGAGGAGTTCGGGGCATAGGGAGTGGATAGCTGGGGTCAGTGTGTAGTCAAGGGGTAGCTAATGCTGTGAGTGGGAAGAGGGGTATCTCAGAATGCAGAGAGGGGGTATCCTGATTGTGTAGACAGGAGGCAGCTCTGAGCAAAGGGAAGGAATAGCTAGGGACTGTGTGTATGTGGGGTGGGGGGGAGGTAAGAGCTGTGTGGGGGCAGGAATAGCTCAGGATGCAGTGAGAGTAGCTAGGGGCTGTGTGCCAGGAGGACTTCCCTATGGTCACTGCTCCTCAAGGTCTCTTTTGGCAACAGCGTTGGGTCCCCTGCCTAGGTGGCTTTCATAGCATAGCTGTGTGGGTTGAAGAGCAGCCAAAACCCCAGGCATCAGCAGCAGGAGAGAGAATGCTGTAGTTCCAGAGCAAGAGACAGAGCAGAGCAGCACATGCCCAAACTGCCCAGCTCTTGTTTCCCTGCTCCAACCTACTCTTGGAGGTGGGGAGAAGAGAAAGTGGGTTTGTGGAGCTGCCCTTGAATAGATCTGCTCTGGCACTGTGGATACTGTGGGCAGGATGGGCAACCAGTGCTGTGGGCGTCAGCACCATGGCTCCCAGCTTTGACTCCTGGTTTCAGCTGTAGGGTGAGGAGTGGGAGGGTCTCAGGGGTCAGAGTTTCAGACCTGTGGTGGGGGAGCAACAAGGCTCAGGCTCTGAGTTCTAGTTATAGGATTCTGCAGCCCCAGGAAAGGACTCAGAAGGGCTGTGATTCTCCATTTGAGAACCATGGCTCTCTGCTACTGTCTGGGAGAACAGCTGGAAGCACTTTATTTAAACTTCCCAAATAGCAAAGGGGCCATGAAATATATTGATTTCAAAAGCAGTGCTTGGGTGCAAGGGAGAGCAATGTTTGGCTCTATAATTACAATTTCCATATAGCTCACTGTAGATAGTGTGACTACAAAAGGGATTTGAAAGTACAGCTATTGATTTTAAAATAAGCAGAAAAACGGAAAGATCCATAAATAATTTTAATTACTAATTACAATGGTACTTTCATTAGCAAACTATAATTGGAAAATCATTCCAAACATTTTTTTCTGGTATATTATATAAGGCTATTTTGAAATTCTGCAAATATCACAAAATATTTGATTTTATTTAGTTTCATGTAATTTTATTATATTATGATTGTAATTAAGAGAACCAGTTCTATCTACAAAAGCTCTCGTCTTTCAGTTCTTGTTAATGCTTAATGCAAGGGGGATGGCTGACCACACATGGTTCACCAGGGTTAGCCACTGGCAGACCAGATGGTTTGTTTACTTGAGTGTCCACAAGCATAATAGTCGTGGTCCATCATTCTGGGCCAATAGAAGCTGTGAGAAGCAGTGGCCCAGCCTGCACTGCTTCCTGTAATTCCCATTGGCCATGGACAGCAAACTGTGGCCATTGGGAGCTGCAAGTGGCCATGCCTGAGGACTCTCAGGAAACCAAAGTGTCTCACAGGCCGTAAGTGGCTAACCCTGATGAATCTTGTGTGGTCAGCATGCTGGAGGTTCCTCACCCTTGGTTTAATGGCTCAATTAAATCTGGTACTGAGGAAGGATTTCCTGTTGAAGGTCAGACAAAGATTTAGGATTTCTGTTTGGTAGAGATAACATAAGCCACTACCAGTAGTAAAGTGAGATTATTTTCTTATGTCATAGGAATTTGAGTAACAAATTATAATTATTATGGTGATGAACATCATGAAAATATCTCAATAGAGGTTTAGGATTAGAACATTATTACTAGAACAGGGCTGGAATTTTTTTTTTGATCCTGCAAACATTTCATTATATTAAGAAAAAAAGATATCCTGTCCAGAGTTGAGGTGAAAAAACAAACAATTATTCACAAACTGAAAATAAAACAAGTTGGCTTGGGTCAGTTGAAAAATTGTGTTCCACTTAAGTCATTTATTTTGAGAATAAAGTAATTTCAGACTAGAAATTATTTTGTTGTATGCAGCATGCAGTCATGGTGGCCCCATACTGTTAGAAACACAAGATTGGTGATGAAGTATCTGATCTTGAACCAACTTCTCTTGCTGAGAGACAAGTTTTTTGAGTTTACACTAAATTCTTTGTAAGGTCTGGGTTCCATTGCTGAAGCTATTTATAGTGTCTAGGAAGTTGGTGCTGGTGTGCATTTTAATGGGCCACTTCACCTTTAATGTTCCTTTAAAATATAGGTTAACTACTAATGCTAAACAATCTTCTCCGCCTTGTATTTAGCTGTGACATTCTGAGATAGACCTTGTGTACGTTACACAGTTTTGCCAACAAATGAAGACAGAACAGTGGAGGTGTATGCACAAAAATATTCCTCCTGCTGATTTAACTCTTCTGTTTTATTGGCATAATAAAACTAATCAACACATGGCATAGATAATTTTGTGACAAAGTTAGAGCAATGTAGACACTTGCTTAAGTGGCTTCTAGGACATTTTCCATAATGACCATCATGGACACAGTGATAGGGTGTTTCTATTCCATTACACTGCAACCAGGTACACTGGCATGCACACCTCCCCTTTTAAATCCCTGGAAACTTTTTAAATTCCACTTCCTGTTTGCTTGGTGTGGACAGCTTATATTGTATCTTCCCAGCTGAGCATACCAGCTTTCCACAGGAAAGGGGCTCCTGCGTGGAGTACACCATAGCTGCTGCATCTGCTGGGTTTGTGGAGAAAGGAGAACCACAATTCCAGTCCAACCATAGGAACTTTGACACCTATGAGAAGATTGTTCATGGCATGGACGAGAAGGTTCACAAAAGGGACACATGTCAGTGCCATGCTAAGATCAAGGAGCAGAGGGAGACACACCAGAAGTCAAGGGAGGCCAGCTGTTGCTCTGCTGTGAAGCAAAAAGCATGCCACTCTACAGCGAGGGGCATGCCATCGTCTGTTACAACTTCACCTCCATCACCAAGAACCTCACAGATATTTCAAGGGGATTGGAGGACATAGCCAGTGGAGTCAATCCCCAGGATAAAGAGGAGAACAAGGAGGGCAAGTTGGAGGAGGAAATTGGACAGGTGACAGGCTTGTCCAGTGGAATGGAGCGTGAAGACTTCTTTTTGACTCCAGAGCAGTCTGGCCAGTCCCAGAAGTCGGGTACCATCATTCCTGAAGAGGCAAAGGGAACGCTGGTAAATAATCATTCTTCCTTAATAGTGCATAGTAAAGACCTGTCTTTTATTTTGTTACATGTTGCACATGGGAGAAAGGATTGAAATGAACAACCCTGAGATTCACTTCCATGCTTTCTCTGGCCAGCAATTGTTCTCATTTGCTTCCTCTCCTAATTATCCCATCCAAAATCTTTTCTTTTAAAGATCTCAAAAGGAAGTGCCAGGTGGATTAGTCTGTCCCTTGATTATTTTGTTATCCAATTAGATCTAATTTCTGGCTCACCAGTTTTGCTTCACTCATTTGGTCCCATACTTCTTTTGCTTACTAGGCATGATCTTAACACCGTTTTTGAATTATATCAGCAAGCCTTTTTATTTAAACTAATACAGTCTGTCTCCCTTTTGTACCTTATCCTAATCAGCATTTGTTGTTATAGATTACTTTGACATTTTATGAACTTTCACTCACTTTTTAAAGCTGAACACACAATTACGGTAAATCTGTAGAGCCAATTATTATATCAGCAGACCAGATGTAGGAAATAGTTGACAGATGTTGTATCTCTGCTCCATCTTTCCAATTATTCTCTCATTTGGATTTAGTGTGTTTCACAGCATCTGCACGACAATGGCTGATTTTCAGTAAAGATGACTATAATTTCATATCCTACAAGCTTGACAGAAACTCAGCTGTTTTGCTTCATGTTCCCTTCATGTTCTGAACCACACGATCCTTTCAATGTCACTGTCCTGGACAATGAGTTCAGCTGCTTTTACCGTGTTTTAAATTCAGTGACAAGGAGGTAAAATAAACCCTTTTTTGGATAAACGTGCAGAAAGAGGGAAAATGTTAATTCTTGATTCATCATATTATTACAAGGAGAGTTTTGACAGTTCTGTGGTTGGTTATGGTTTAACAAATGCCCAGATTACATGAAATCGAGGCTGAAATCTTGTAGATTTGGGATTGAGGAATTTTGGGCCCTTGCCCATTGTCAGCATAAGCACTGACTCCATGGGAGCTCTAGCACAAAATTAGTGAATGCTTAGCCAGCAACCGGATCCCCTTCTCCTTTCTCCATTGTCTCCTGTGTGCCTGTACTCCCACCAATCAACTCTTCTCTCTCTCTCCCAACTCCTCCCCTCAACTGCAATCAGCTGTTTCACACAGTGCAAGAGGCACTGAGGGAGAAGGAGAGGAGCAGGGAAGTGCTGCACTCAAGGAAGGGGGTGGAACTGTTTGGGCAGAAGAGGGTGGGGCCTTGGGGATGAAGATGAGCGGGGGGGAGGGCAGAGCAATGCAGTGCCTGTGTTTGGCAGCACTTTTTTAAAAAGAACCCTGCTGCTACTGGCTCACTGCCTGTGCTTGCATGCATTCTCCAGTCCCTCAGACTGCAGAGTGGGAGCTGGTGTTGAAACTCTGCAGTTGCCATGGCTTTTAAAAAACCCACAAAGGCTGTTTGGACATCAGAAATATATTATTTCCTTAGTAAGAGAGAAAAAAGTGGAAGGACACATTCATCAAGTATCCTAGTCTCAAGTATTTATAATATTAATCTTTAGAAAACCAGCAAAGAGAAAGCTAATCTTTAGAAAGCCAGCAAAAATCAAGAATGCATGTACATTCTTAATTGCTTGTCTTACTTTCATTCTTCCCCATTGTACATCTCTTGCGCTCATTAAATGAAGCAGAGATCTTGTGCAAAAAATCTATATGATCTTGTAACAGTTATATACGATGGGGGAAGAATATGCCACCTTCATGTGTGGTTGGTGAAGTTAGGGCTGGGGGAGGCAAGCCCTCAGTCCCATCCCAGTCCTGCCCCTTCTGCTGAGCCCCACCCTCCATGGGAGCCAAGTTGCCTCACTGTCCCCTTCATCACAGAGAGGTGGGGCAGCACCTCCATGGGGAGGAGGATGGATAGGTATGTGGCCCAGCCGCCTCAGTCCAGAGCACTGGAGAAGGAGCACAGCCTGAGCCTCTCCAGCCCTGGATAATGGGGAAGGCAGTCACTGGAGCCAGCAACACTCTGCTCCAGAATGCCTATAACAGGTATTCTGGGGGTGGAATGTGGGCAAAGCCAGGCTGGCATTTCGGGAAGGCTGTGCTTTCCCCTGCCTAACATACCAGCTGCCCATGACAATCTCCCTCATAAATTTTGTACCAGATGTTCAGGCATTTAACTGGGCTGTAAGGATACTCAACTGGGATGTGGGTTCAATTATTCCCTCTGCCTGAGATCTCCCACTTTATAGGCAATGCCTTAACCATCTGATTATGGGATATTCTGATATGGGTCTCTCTCCTGTTGAAGCTGTACCAATTGGACAGTGAATTCTATACTCTGGAAAAAAATGAGCCAAGTTCATTACCCTACACCAATTACTATTAATCTATACTCTGTAAAACATCTTGAGCAAGAGGTCTCTCAAATTCCAGCCCAATGCTTTAACCGCTGGAGTAAAATTTATAACTGCTAACTTCTCCCTAGCTGGCTCTAGTTGTTTTGTTAATCTAACCCTTTAAAAACACCTAGAAACAATATTTGGTTAACCAAAACATTTTTGTTTAGTTCATAATGATTTTTTTTAAACTATACTCTGTAAAACATCTTGAGCAAGAGGTCTCTCAAATTCCAGCCCAATGCTTTAACCGCTGGAGTAAAATTTATAACTGCTAACTTCTCCCTAGCTGGCTCTAGTTGTTTTGTTAATCTAACCCTTTAAAAACACCTAGAAACAATATTTGGTTAACCAAAACATTTTTGTTTAGTTCATAATGATTTTTTTTAAATCACTGAATATTTTTGGAATTTTTCACATTGGTTCAATCTGAACTGAATTTTTGTTTGGCTTTTTTTTTTTTTTTTGACTTGCCAGCAAACTGAAAAATCACCTAGTTCTAGTTCTAATGGCCCTTTTATTATCTTATCATATGCATATTAATTTTACACCAGTACAACTTCAATATGTCAGAGCAGTGAAGTTATTCCTGCATTATATCAACATGAGAGGAAAATTGGATATCTATTTTTAAAAGTGTACAAGTCTATGGCATAATATGTTCCCTTTGATGAATCATTTATTTCAGATTCTCAACTTGAGAGGGCTTTTCTTTTATTTTCCAGCGAGAAGAAGCTGGGCAAGCAAACTCAATGTTGATTCTTTTCTTTAAAAGGGAATATACCATATGCCAATATTTAATCGTAAATATTTTCAAATTGTGTTTATTGGTGCCTTCAGAAGTAATATTTACTTAACTAGGACAGCTAATGCAAAATGAACACTAAAAATATTGTAAAACTGAGAAGGTGAGAATTAGAAACTGCTCACTATACATAATTCCCTTTCCCCCAACTTTTGTGAGTTCAGCTCTTAAATTTACTGAGATGGATATCAGTGCATAAATGTCTTCTTATGTATTTATTCTAAAGTAATATTTCATCCCTATAAGGGAACCACATTTTGGATCACAATGTGTTGTTCTGCTTAATTTAATTGTCTGATGCAAAATTATGTTCAGTCTTTTAAAAATCAAGTACACAATTACAATTCAATTTTACTTCTACATAATGAAATAATTTCAAACTAGCTAACTGAGAAAGAAATACTTGTGAGGAAAGCTTCACCAATTCATATCAGTCATCTTCAACCCCAGGTAATGCTTTCTTGGATAAGTGTCTTGCCATATAAAGTTCCCCTTAGAGAAATCTAAGAGCTTGTGAATTCAGTAATAGTGACAGAGGTTACGGATGCAAATATTCTCAGGTGTTTATAATTTATTGCCTATCAGATACTATAACCTACTTTGGAAGAAATTTTGGAAGGGCAATCAATTATGGCAGACACCATCCTATGATCTGCATACAAAATGCAAAATGGTCAAAATACTATTACAAGACCTGAAGCTATTTCTGTGTTAGAAGCTGTAAACTCCCAGGGATTAGAAAAAGACATAATTACAAAATTGGTAGAAAAGTTACAAAGAAAAATACCATTCTGTAACAATGATTTTTCAGCATTATAATTAACTGATGAGCTATATCTTGCTTATTTGGCTTAAAATTACTGAGAAGGAGGAGGAAATGTATAAGAGTACTTGTAATTTACATATTATAGGCATTTCTGATGCTCCGTAACTGTAATTACTGGAATTGGTAAATGTCACTCATTGCCATTGTAAAAATGGCATTAACCTTTTTACTCTGGCATATATCAGGTTACTCAACCAGGAAATTGATTATATTTTTATCAGAAATCCCAAGCATCATTTGTTTATTTCATTATCATAGTATCTTAATAATTCATAAGAAGGTTCATCACATTACCTTCCTCTTCTCCTATTAATCTAATTCTGCATGGGGATAGACTAAAAGAAATGGATTCCATAAGTGTGATATCATTACTATATCATTGTTTTATGAAATCCTTTTAAAACAAATGTCTGAGAGGATATGCTGAAGGCCCAAACCAATTTTCTTGTTCACTGTGTTCAATATTTATGGGTCATTCACTGATATTTTTCTAACTATTAGTTCAAAGTAGAGGCTTAAAATGAGGCCAGGGTGCTGAGAGTCATTGAACCACACTATAAATCCTCTATATAATGAAAACCACTCCAAGCCAATAGGTGCTGCAGCCCTCCCTCCCCCCACGCCTTACTCCTGGTTGTAGCACCTATGAGCAGGTCTCTGGTAGCTAAAGTCTCCTGGTTGAGCAGGGCCCAAGTATAGTGGAGAAAATAAAGAGGTCACTATGGCTACAGTCCATGTAGCAATTGATGCTATATTATTTGATGACAATCTGTTAGAAATGGGAAAAGGGGAATATGTATGATGTCTGAAATTGGTCATAACAATACATCACTGAGTTTTACAAAATTTTCATCCAAATACATCCTGTTAACTCTACTCCACAAGAGTGACATGAATCCAGAAGACTACAATATCTGTTATTTCTGCTTGAAACAGATGAGTATATACTTGGCCTGGTTCAGCTGTGCCTCCTTTGCTGCTATCCTGGTATATATACAGGCAGTCCCCGGGTTACATGGATCCGATTTACATCGGATCCCTACTTACAAACGGGGTGAGGCAACCCCGCACTAGCTGCTTCCCCCCCAGCAGACCAGGGAGACAAGCTAGCGCCCCCCCCCAGCAGACCAGGGAGACGTGGGGCGGCTTTTCTCAGCAGACACCTCCGCTTGAGAATAAAGGACTGAGGGAAGTGAGGTGTGGGAGAATAAAACTGAGCTCTGGAGAAATGTTTGGCTAGAGTTTCCCCTACAATATGTACCAGTTCTGACTTACATACAAATTCAACTTAAGAACAAACCTACAGTCCCTATCTTGTACGTAACCCGGGGACTGCCTGTACTAGCCCTAGCTCAGTGAGTGATAGTGAAACACAAACAAGCCAAATCAAACCTGGGACTTCTGGAGCTTAGTGCATGAGCCTCTACATCTTGAGCTAAAAGCCAATTGGCTCTTAGCTAAAGCTGTAGAGTAAACTCATTCTCAGTCTATCTCTGTAAGTGGTCTGAATGCCACTACATGAGACAGTGAACCACACCCAATAGGTGTGTGGGTTACAGTAGCACACATGTGTATGTACATCTG